TACTGTTTAAAACAGCATAACAGTTCAAGTTGCAGCAAGAAAAAAGTTACAATCAATACCTTCTTATATAGAGTGAACGAAAAATTACATCAAAAAGCGGTGCGTATTTGTTCAAAAAAATTATTAATAGACATTTTCACATCAATCATTCTATACACACATGTACAGAAAAGTTTTTACAGAACCTATACAAGCTGTAAAAACACAAAAGCATCAGAAATGCAGTGCCCCTAGTAGGAAGTATCAATAGCAATGGTAAGGCTATCGATGACTTCCTCATTTGAGGGTTAGTAGCCGCTGGCGAGTTTGGCTCTATGGTATGTGTTTTAATGAACCAAAATGTTTTAATCTCAGCCAAATTATTAATTTTAATACGTACTACAGTACCAATCTTTATCAATTTATTTCACTGCCGCCTAATACGAACTAGTGGAATGGCGCTAATTAACCTGATTTAGCTTAGAAAATTACTCATTTGTAACCCTACAATTCGACCTATTACCCTCCTCTCACTAATCCTTAACTCTCCGACCTACTTCGCTCCACTCACTAATTTCTAACAGTTTCACCAAATTCTAAATAATTCCATATTACCTACCTTCTCACTAATTAACTACCTTGCTCTCCTCTTCCCCCCATTAATTTTCTCTATATAAACCCGTTCCGAAAACCCAGGTTCTTAGTCTTGGAATCAACGCGCGTCACTGGTCTGCCACATCCTACCACAACTAACTCTACTAACCGCCTCGATACGACTAGACTAGCGTCCTCTTTTATTGAATAGCTTGTGCGACGCTCCGCCTCGTCGTTTTGTTGAAGTGAAGCTTTTGTTAGGAATAAAATGCTGATACTCTTCGCTGTCTTCCGCTGCTGCAGTTAAAGACCACGTGTGGACCTAACACATCAAGTAACATCGACTAAATGTTATTACTGTCGAAACGAATGAACGAATCGTAGAGGGATTGGCTGTCCTACTGGAAAAGTCCAAAAAAAAAGACTTCTGACGTTTTCTGACAAATGAAAATCTACATTTGTTCGATTGAATAACCATCAGGAGGTACCACTGAGTGGTGCTCACGAAAAAGAAAATACAACCACAAAAGAGAATGTACAACTATAAACATCAAACATGAGCGATGACGGATTGAGACAAATGGCCTATGACTGAAGGGATTTTGGTAAATCTGCGATTGGTACATGGCTAAATTTTGAAAACATTAATTTGACTCACAATAATTCGTTCAAGCAGTCTTAAAATTATGCAAAAAACCGCTTAAATTTGTACTTTAAGACAGTCCAAAGAGACCCTCGTGGTATCATTGCCCTTCATCTCCCGTGAAGGGTGGAAATATGGAGGGGATCTTGACCTAGATTGACAAAGAACTTGACATTTCTTCAAAAAAAAAAAAAAGACATCTTTGGTTATTTACATTGATTAGGATTCTTTTGGAGGGAAAGTAATTCACATGCTGGAGTATTATTTCCATATTTTAATGACACCATCTCGACTCGATGAAATCAAGTAATCGCCAGAGCAAAGAAGATCCGAGATCGGGCTTTTGTGGCAAATCGTTAGCTGAAAATTCAAA